GGCTCATACGTTAATATAAAATATATTTTTAATGGTTTAAAAGGTATATTATTAGATTTTAAAAAATGAGGTGCAGAAGACTATATATTATCCTGAAATTCATGGAAAAATATTTAAATGCGTAAACTATCTTACAAAGATTTGTGATAAACTGATGGCCTTGGTGGCCTGTGGTGAAGTTGCTGGGTGGTGGGAGGAGAGGGCAGGAGACAGATTTTCCGTTGTGGGCCCTTTGGAATTTTTAAATTTAGAGCCATGTGAATATATTTGCTTGTTCAAAAATCACATTTTAAAAATATTGAGAAACTAAATGAAAGAGTCCATTTCTGCCACATTTAGCCATTTCCTGAAGTCTATTACATGCCTATGGTTAATTTACATTCATGGCCTGACACAGTTGGTTCCGGAATTTCATTGTGGCCGTTCCGTGCCTAAGGATGTTTGTTTTCTAATTCTCTTCTAAGCCTCCTTCACTTGGTTATCGATTTCCATTCACTCTTTTTTTAATCTCAATAAAACTTTGGAGGGGAAATTTTTTGGCTTTGAAAGGCAGCATGATGCTTCCAACGATGGCCCCATAGTGTTTTCTGGGTGGAGGATGCGGGAAGGGAGGCCAAAGGCAGAAGGAAAGGGGAGCAGTGTTTTAACGCATGTTTTCCACTCCCGTTCCTCATGAGGACATTCTGATGTCCACTCCCGTTCCTCATGGGAGCATTCTGATGTCCACTCCCGTTCCTCGTGGGAGCATTCTGATGTCCACTCCCGTTCCTCGTGGGAACATTCTGATGTCCACTCCCGTTCCTCATGAGACATTCCGATGTCCACTCCCGTTCCTCATGGGAGCATTCTGATGTCCACTCCCGTTCCTCATGGGAGCATTCTGATGTCCACTCCCGTTCCTCATGGGAGCATTCTGATGTCCACTCCCGTTCCTCGTGGGAGCATTCTGATGTCCACTCCCGTTCCTCGTGAGAACATTCTGATGTCCACTCCCGTTCCTCGTGAGGAGCATTCTGATGTCCACTCCCGTTCCTCGTGGGAGCATTCTGATGTCCACTCCCGTTCCTCATGGGAGCATTCTGATGTCCACTCCCGTTCCTCATGGGACATTCTGATGTCCACTCCCGTTCCTCGTGAGGACATTCTGATGTCCACTCCCGTTCCTCGTGAGAGCATTCTCATGTCCACTCCCGTTCCTCGTGAGAGCATTCCGATGTCCACTCCCGTTCCTCGTGAGGACATTCTGATGTCCACTCCCGTTCCTCATGGGACATTCCGATGTCCACTCCCGTTCCTCGTGAGAACATTCTGATGTCCACTCCCGTTCCTCATGCGACATTCCGATGTCCACTCCCGTTCCTCGTGAGGACATTCCGATGTCCACTCCCGTTCCTCATGCGACATTCCAATGTCCACTCCCGTTCCTCGTGAGAGCATTCCAATGTCCACTCCCGTTCCTCGTGAGAGCATTCTCATGTCCACTCCCGTTCCTCGTGAGAGCATTCTGATGTCCACTCCCGTTCCTCGTGAGAGCATTCCGATGTCCACTCCCGTTCCTCGTGAGAGCATTCTGATGTCCACTCCCGTTCCTCGTGGGGACATTCCGATGTCCACTCCCGTTCCTCGTGAGAGCATTCCGATGTCCACTCCCGTTCCTCGTGAGAACATTCAGATGTCCACTCCCGTTCCTCGTGAGGACATTCCGATGTCCACTCCCGTTCCTCGTGAGAGCATTCCGATGTCCACTCCCGTTCCTCGTGAGAGCATTCCGATGTCCACTCCCGTTCCTCGTGAGAGCATTCCGATGTCCACTCCCGTTCCTCGTGAGAGCATTCCGATGTCCACTCCCGTTCCTCGTGAGAGCATTCCGATGTCCACTCCCGTTCCTCGTGAGAGCATTCCGATGTCCACTCCCGTTCCTCGTGAGAGCATTCCGATGTCCACTCCCGTTCCTCGTGAGGGCATCAGATGTCTGGTTGAAGTTTCCTTGTTGGCCTCCCCTAGATCTCCAGTCCCCTAATGAAGCGAGTGAACAGCCCAGATGCCAGCAGATCCTTGGGAACACTGCCGCCGCTGCCCTCCCCCTCCAGGGTCCTCCCCACAGCACACACTCACACTCACACTCGCACTCAGTGCCTCGGGTCCGTAATCGAGGCTGTCAGATGTGAGCGTGCATTGGAGTCCCTGCAGAGCTTGTTAAAGCCCAGATTTTTGGACCCCACTTCCCGCATTTTCTGATCCAGAAATCTGGGGTGGGGCCCAAGGCTTGCATTTCTTTCTTTTTCTTTTTTTTTTTTAAGATTTTATTTTTCCTTTTTCTCCCAAAGCCCCCCAGTACATAGTTGTGTATCCTCAGCCGTGGGTCCCCCCAGTTGTGGCATGTGGGACACCACCTCATAGTGGCTTGACGAGCGGTGCCACGTCCGCGCACAGGATCTGAACCCGCGAAACCCTGGGCCGCCGAAGCAGAGCGCACGAACTCAACCACTCGGCCACAGGGCTGGCCCCAAGGCTTGCATTTCTGATAAGTTCCCAGGGTGCTGCTAAAGATGCTGGTCTGGAAACCACCCTCTGAGGTTGCCGTATTTGTATCTTTCCCCTTCTAAAGCCTGGTCTTGGCCACGGTCGTGTAGGATCCACATCGATCCATTCTAGTGGAGCGCGAAGAGCTCAGGCTGTCAGGCGGGGGAGGGAGTAAAGCAACTTCACAGAGCCTGATGTTTGATGCTGAGCAAGAATCTTCACTTCTCTTAGCCTCAACTTCCTCATCTGTAAAATGGGACCACTAAGGCCTACCGCATATAACTAAGTAACATAAAGTATGTCCTGGGCCTGGACCTTGTCGGATATTCAGTGAATGTCAGTCTCCCTCACTCACTCCCTTTCCTGCTGTGTAACAGGCTGATTGCCACTCAAAGTGGTAGCCCCTCCAGGAATGGCCGGGATGGCAACAGCAACTGCTTACATAGGTACAACTCTTTACATTTACGAGGTAAGTTAATATACATTATCTTCTGAAGGAAGTCTGAGAATCTACATTTTTAACAAACGTCAAAGATAATTTTCAGATGCACCAAAGTTTGAAAGCAACCAATATCTCATTTAATCATCACAGCAACCTGAAAGATGGCATTATTGATCAGATTTTATGGATGAGAAACTGGGGCTCAAATAGGTGAAGTGGCTTGCCACCGTGACACAACCCCCGACCCCTGCCTTGTGAACTCAGTTCTTTGATACAAAGATAAAAATCTTCACAGATGGCATTTTAGGCACCAGAGACTGGAAAGTGGGGCAGATATTTTTGCCTAGACAAACTATCCTTGGCACCACCTGATGCCTGAAGTGTGATTTGCAGGGGCGTTTGGGAGGTTGACCGGCCAGTCCACGTGGGATGCTGTCCGAGTGCGTGGCTCCCGTACTAGTAAGGTGAGGAAGGAAGCACCTGATCCAGGTGTCCTGCGGCCTTTCAACTCTGAATGGCTGACCAAGTGCCAGTTGGCCTCTTGGAATGGAATGTTTGGTGACCCTGCTGACAGACAAGCTTCCTCTTTTTCTACTCCTCCTGCAATAGCTTGAGTCTTAGTAAGGAGAGGATGCAGTTGCTCCTAAATGTGATTCTGAAAAAATCTCAGCCCAGGAAAGAACAAAACTTGGCTTGGACCTTTCCAACTGGGTATGGCCATCAGCCAACACACCATAAGTTGGGCTATTTATACTGCAGAAGGAAATAATTTACTTGTAAACCACCTCCTTTCAGCTTCTGCCTACTCCAAAATGTCCCAGAAACCAAAAGCTGGAGTTGACATTCACGAAACAAAATATTTAATGGACATCCATATGGCTTCCTATAACAAAAGTGAAGTTCTGCGCAGTTACATACAGCAGAGTCTGCTGTTGAAGTGGCCATTTTTAATGGGGACTGACCCTCCCATCTCAGCCCCTCATTTGCTTCTTGGGAACTCTTGTGCTCATGCATAAGGAATGCCCCTGCGCCTACCATGGAGAGTTTTTTGTACTTATTTATTTTGAATAAAGGATGCTTGAGAGAGAAACATAACTATGGACAAGGGCACTGAAACCAGCCAAGAGAGAAATTAATCCATGAGTTGGTACAGAGTTTGACAACTGGGAATGGGTTTCTCGTACCTAAGGGCATTCTGACTTCCATGGTTGTGGCAGCAAAGTCATGTAAGCCAAAAATTTCCCCATGAGCTTTGGGAGGGAAACCCCACTTTCTCATCAAAGAAATGTAGTTATCTTCTTCTGCTTCCAATCAGAAGCAGAACATGACTTTTCTTGATGTTGATATCTCAAGAATTCACAAAAGCCCCACTGGGAATATGACACCTGTAACTCAGCAGTTAGAAGTCGTGCTTATGGGAAAGAGCTCACATAGGGTTACTTACACTAGACTGTGAAATACTTCAGGTTCAAACCCACTTTTCACCCTCCCGTTACAGGTGGCATGGGTCTGGATTGAACTGGGTAGTAATGGACTCCCGGAGGAGCATGTAACTGTAAATAGACCATCTTTACATTGTAGATACGGCTCATACGTGGTGTTGACAGACCTTGACGACAACAAATCAGAAACATTAAAACCAATTTCTGCAGTCTAGCTAAAGACCCAGAACAAGAGCATATGAGCCTGGTGAGAAGATGAACACAAAAGTGCCTCTTGGGGAAACTCTTTTTTGTTTTGTTTTTTTCAAGAAAGCAGTTGTCTTTATTAAACACAAAGCCACCATGGGAAGCCGGGGATCAGAGATAGGAAGATAACACAACAAAGCCAAAATTGCTGTGGGTGTAAACTCTTCACGGCACATACAAAACAGGGACACACAGTGAAGGTAGTCAAATTTAATGCTTAAGAAAAAAGTTAAGAAAAGCTTCTAGAATGCATGAGCAATTGTTTTTAAGAATATTTTTAAAATTTTATTTTATTTACTTTTTTATTGCAGTAACACTGGTTTATAACACTGTATAAATTTCAGGTGTACATCGTTAGGTAAAATTCTTAAGATGAAAAAATACAAATCACAAGCCATTATTCTCTTTACACACTATGAATTTCTCCAGTGGGGAATGGAAGTTTTCAAGAGGGGTACCAACCAGTTCAGTCATTTGATATCCAAAGTAGACTTTGTCTCCTGGACATGGACAAGCCCACTCATCTGGAGCCATGTCTCTGCAGGTGTGCTCTTTCTGGAATTCTCAGTCAGGGAATCCAAGACAAGAGGTGAGTCAGAGCCCCTCTCCATCAGTTTCAGTACCATTTTACTTAGTGCTAGACCTGTACTGATTTGCACTAAAAACTCTGGACTTAGACTCCAGACCCAAGAAACCTGATGCATGCCATGATGGGGAAGACAAAGGCGGGAAGACGAGGTGCTGTGACAATGCGAACAGTTTATGTGCAATCCAGAAGTATGAGCAATAGATTCAATTATTCACTCATTCGTCCCTTCAATAAGTGTTTATTGAGCCCCTGGTCAGGGGGCACCACACAACCCAGGGCACGTCATTCACAGATGTTTCCATACTTGGTGTAAAGCTCTGGGGGCACAAGGGACAATCCCTGCCTTCAAAGGGCTCACAGAGCAGTGGGAGAGAGGCAGAAGTGGTCCGGCAATTACACTGCAGAGTGGAAAGACCTAAGATGGCATAGTTAGCACCAGCGAACACGGGAGCTTACAGGTGGGCTCGGGGACCCCAGCCTTGGGGATCGAGGGCAGCTACCTAGAAAAGGCTGCACCTGAGAAGACTGAAGCCACAGGCAGGATGCAGCCAGGCTAAGAAGGGGAGAGAAAACAGTCCAGGGTGAAGACGCAGCCCATGTAAACGTGACGGGGTGAGGGAGAGAAGGTAGGATGTCCAGAGGAAGCCATTTTGGACCAGCTGAGCAGAGAGAGGGAAGAAGAAAGTCGCCCAGAAGAGAGGAGAGAATGTAGCTAGTGCCCAAAGCTGCCTGGGGCCTCACCCTCCCCATGCCAGCGTGTGGGTCTTTCTCCTGTGTTAGCAGGTGACCGTGCTCTTGCTTACAATCAAGAGAATTCTAACCATAACGGGGGCTCTTGATGGTCAGTAGACTGAAATACAAGTAGGCCTTTTTATTTTTTTCAGCGTGCAGCTAATAAGCATGTGATTTGCAAACAGCTGTTCAATTAAATGTTGCCATTTTGATAGTTTGGGTTCTAACAGCTCCCCGGGACTGGAGGTGGAAACCGCCAGGTTTGCGGCCGCTGTCTGTTGAATGCTCCCTCTGCTCCGCCCCGGCAGGGTCTGCCCGCTTGGAGAAATGCTGGCTCTGGCATCCTCCTTCTAGTCTTGAAGCTCTGCAGGTGGGCATCCACCTAGGGGATAACTAGGGGAAATATTGGCTGCTCAGTTTTCAAAGCCAGATTTTAACCTAACGATCAACATATTCTAGTGGAAAAAGTGCTATAAAAATAGTTTAAAAAATAAATAACAAAACAAGTGTTATGTCTTCCTAGATATCGACTCTTTTATCTTCTTAATTCCTATACTTAAAAAAAAAAACCTAGTTCAACGATAACAACTGCTTAACAACAACAGTAACGAAAATAACTTCACCCTATTTTGGAGAATTCATTCTTTTCTCTCTACTTTACCACTTCCTATTCAATCATCGCCTATTAATTTTTTTCACACCACACTCAGAAACCGATAACACACAGTCACTGAACATAAACAGCTCCAGCCTACCTCTTTCTTATAGTTCTGTTCCGCATTTTTCTTCCCACTTCCCCTTAAGGAGGATTTTTCTCTCTTTCCTAAGTGGGCTCAAGCCCGTAATCAGTCCTGCGAAAGCTTGTGCAGGGTCTTATTTTCTGCTGTTTTCTCATGCCAAATGCCTTTACGGTTCTAATCCCAACACAATGATCTCCAAAATTATGTGGCTATTTTTGAAAGAGAAAAAGAAATTCTGAGAAGCCTGGTTACAAGTCAGTAACAGGCTGTGCAAACAACTCTAACCATAAACCAAACACAGAAAGACTTCGCAGGGACCCTGCTGGGCAGAACTCACTGGTCTGTATTGTCTTAGCCGTGCCCTCTAATTACAGGCATCATCTGTGATTATTAAAAAAGCAGCAATGTGCTATTGGGGTCATTGTCTCTTGCCTGCTTACTACTCCCTTCTTACCAACCATTTTTAGTCCATCCCACCATTCCTTTGCCTCTATACTAAATGTGCCTGAGGGCTTCAAACTGAGCATCCAGCAATGGAATGTCCAGACTCCCTTCTTCATTGCCCTGGCACCCTGGGGGCCTGTCGCCGTCCCGCTGACGCCCTGCCCGTCCTCGAGTGAGCCGTTTCCCATGCTGTGTGAACCACACTCTCTCTCTACTTCTCTCTGGAAGTTTCAATTCTTAAAACTTGGTAATACTGAATCTCCTCTTAATTTCCCCCCAACAAATTGAATTCCTCTGCTGGTCTAAAAAGGGCAAGATATAGATTGCTACTCTTTCTCTGACTTTTTTTTTCATATCTTAAAAATATCTGAAGAAAATTTGTTCTGCTTGTTCAGCCCTTTTTAAAATATGTTTAAGCAATGGTTACCCCAGAGTGTGGGATTGGGGTGGTTTGGGAATAAAGATTGAGAGGGAAATGAGGCATCTTTACATTTTATTTTACCTTTTTTTGCTTAAGGTTTTCACAATAATAACTTACTACTTTTGTAAGAAAAGTATTTCTTTCATTCAAAAATAGCTTTACATTGTTCAGAAGGGAAGAGGGTTCCTACCTAATGCTTTCTGAACTCCTCTGAGGTTACGATCATCCAGATTTTCATAACTAAATATTTTTCACTGGAAAGAAGAGAGAGCAGAGAGTGAGCGGCTGCGAACCTTGGAGAGAGGGTATTGGTCAGAGTCAGCCTCTCGACACTAGCATCCCCCCACTGAGCCTACGGCCACGTTCTGTGGGCACCACTCCTCGGAGGCTGCGCAGAGAGAGAGTTTAGATAGTTATGAAATAAAGCCAGGTAAGATATTCTGATGTCCCTTTAGGAACTTCTCATTCAAAAGGAAAAGGCGGTTCTTAATTTTTCCTCCGTATAATTTGATACACTTGGAAATTTCTCAAAATCAGCACACGTTGCTGTTGCAATTAAGCTCGCGTGCACACACACACACACACACATCGACCCGAGGTTGACACAGTTCATAAACGCATTTCTTGCCTAACGCCTGCGCTGAGGTGTGGCATTAGCCAGGGTCCCAGCACAGATCTAGAGGGGCCCCTGATGCAGTCCAAACAGGGCAGCCCTCCAGGCCGAGAGCAGAGCAGCGACGGGCAGAGAAAAGACAGAGAGGGAAGAACGGGAGAGACTCAGCACTGGTGTGATGACTGAGTGATTTTAGTAGTTCTGTTTTTATAGAATCTCAAATTTAAGTATCAAAGCACGTATTTCAAAACTCAGTCACAGCCATTCTATATGCCACAAAAAACTCTGCCTGGTGGGTTTAAGATGCTTGGTGCTGGCATCCAGGTCTGCAGGCCTAGAGCGTGAGGGGGAACTGCCAGTCTCTGGAAATACTCTTTTCAAGGACAGTCTATTTCACGCCGACACGTGTGGTCATGGCGTTCCTCCGAGCCCAGGACCTTTAGATCACCTGTCTCTCAGTTGCCTCTGACTCTCAGAACCTATTTGCGAATCTCCAGGTCCTTCCAAATTTAATTCCTCTGTCTAACTTTGCTGTCGGAGAGTACCGGATCCCCAGCAGCACATTCTGAAATAGCAACTTTTTCTGAAGTCCTATATACGGGAGATTCTAGCTACAGAATTAAACTTGTCCTCAGGGCTTTCCACACGTGAGTGTTTAAGTTCTGGCTTGTGTCTGAAGGTAGGAAGTCCTTATTTCTACTTTCTTACTTTGTTCAAAAGACCTTCCCTCTTAAGGGAATTTTTCTGATAACTCCCCCATCTTATCGATCACCTTAAAATCTCGTCTGAAAACTCTGCTCCTGGCAAATACAGCCTTCCTTCTGTGAAAAGCTTTTCTTCTGGCGGAGCCACAAGCAAGAAACAGTCTCAGAGCCTGCCGACGCCAGCCCCTTCATCTGACTGGTGAGAAAAATTCTTCCCCTTTTTTCTTTCTTTTTTTTTTTCAATGAAAGTATTTTACCCTTTTTTCTTTTTCAATGACAGTGCTTAGATTATAGCTAATCTCTTCCTCGCCCATTTGTTCTCGGCGTCATTTATCTTCCAACCAGAGTCTAAGATCTCCCACACCTCTAATGAGTTAAGAGAAAAACAAAAAGCCTGTGGGGTTTCTTTCTCCCAGAGGGTCTTTTGTGTATTGCCCTCCCTGATGGTCGCTGGCTGAGGACACTGGGACTCCCTCTCCTGGAACAACGTCTGATTAGGGTTGCAGTGGGATGTGAGTCCTGCCGTGAGCGGTTGTGTCATCCCAGCCTTCTGGGACCTGGCACCAGCACACTCCTGCCACAGCCACACAGGCTCGGCCCCAGAACTTTTCCAGGTCCTGGTGGCCGAGTCTCCTGGGTGCCTGTTGTGCAGCAGGCACACTCATGAGCACCCCCCTACACACACACCTGATCTTCACAACCCCCTGGAGTGGAACCACTGTTCCCATTCCAAAGGGGAAGAACAAAGACTTCCAGGTTAAGTGTCCCGAGGCAACTTAGCTAGTGAGGGCAGAGCTGGGATGTAAGCCTGAGCTTTCGAACTCTGGCTTTGCCCCGTCATTGCTGTCTGTGTCTTCCTGCCTGCGTGCTCGGCTCTGCCTCCTCTCTTTTACACTCGATGAACCCACTCAACCCCTCATCACCAGAAGAGAGACAAGAGGAGGATCCAGAAGAAAACTCCCCCGGTTCTTCCCCGGCCACCTGGAGTCAAGGTCCCCCACAGGCCTGTGCTTTTTAAAATTATCCTCAGAAAGAATCAGTAGCATTAATTTTTAACCACTTCTTCCCTCCTGCTTTTCTGCCCTCTTGTTGATATTATTTAACGTGAGGTTTAGGCAGTGTTTCTCTAACAGTATCTGTCACACTGCGTTTCAGGGGTTTTCTCTCCCTTTGTTCAAGGCAGCTCATTTCTATCCATTCACGAAACAATCTGTTCGAGACTGCCCTGAACTGAAGGCTTCTTGGTGGCTATTTTGCTGCCGTGGAATCCTCAGGGGCAGCTTTGGGGGCCCAGCCAGGGGACAGAGGAAAATGCATGTTACCACAGACCAGTGATGGCTGAACCGAAGAAAGTCAGTCACACTAAAACACAATCCATAAAATAAACAGACTTCATCAAAATTAAAACCATTTGTGCTTCAAAAGACCCCACTAAGAAAATGAAAAAGCAGGTCACAGACTGGGAGAAAATATTTGCAAATCGTGTATTTAATAAAGGACTTGTGTCCAGAATCTATGAAGAACACTTATAACTAGGTAAGAAGGAGACAAATAACTCAATTAAAAATGAGCAAAAGATTTAAATAGATATTTCAACAAAGAAGATATAGACATATTTTAGAAGCATATGAAAATGTGCTTCATGTCATTACTCATCAAAGCAATGCAAATTAAAACAAATTACCTTTTTACACTCACTAGAATGGCTAAAATGGAGACAATAACAAGTGTTGAAGAGGATGAGGAGAAATGGGAACCTTCACACATTGCTGATGGGGACGTCAAATGGTACAGCCACTTTGGGAAAGGGTTGGGTAGTTCCTTAACAAGTTAAACATCAACTCACCATACAACCCAGCAATTCTGAAGTAGCTGTGCAGGAGAAATAAACCCAGCAGCTACACAAAGACTTTTAGCGAATCTTCATCCCAGTATTGGTCATAATAGTCAAACATCAAGCCAACTGAAAGAAAGGAGGTGTACAGAAGAGTCCATACATACTCCATTTATATGAAATCTTTAGAGACAGAAATGAGACTAGTGCCTGAGGCTGAGGGTAGAGTGGAAATTCACTACAAGTGGGCATAAGGGAACTTTCTGGGGCAATAGAAAAGTTCTAAAACTGAGCGTGGTGATGGTTGCACAACAGCCAACTGGTTAAAAATAACAACACTTGCAGTGGGTAAATCTTATGGCACGTAAACTAGAGAATTGCTTTTTTTTTTATTTCAACTTTGCTAAGTTTTTATCTTTAGCTTTATTGACTTTTGAACCCATGAGCCCATCCTACTTGGTCATGCATTTATTCACTTCTGGGAAAACTCTAGCATCATGTGGCAGAGAGGGTCCAAACACCCTGCATTGTCCTTTGGTGCCATTTGCCTGCTTGGCCACTGAGGGACATAAACTACAAATAGACTTGAAAGTGTAGGTTGAGTTCCTTTAGTGGGCATACCAAATTGTGACAGTGTTGGTCAATGTCTTCAAAATCTAACACTAAATAAACAGACACGTTTGAAATGCTGACTGTTAAACATGAAAGGTTGTTTTCACTTTGCTCAGTCAATTAAAAGATTTAAAGACAAGTGGGAACAAGGCCACATATTTTATCAGGGTCAAATTTTTTCATCAAAATCTGGGTCCTCTGTTACTCGTCAGATCGGGCCTCCTCTTGCAAAGGGAGCATCAGCCTATCCTGGCTGCTTGTTGGTAGGTCAGGAACATTTGCCATGTGTCCTCGCCCGTCAAGCATCATGTGGCCTCTTCAGGGCTGTGCTATTTTAGTAAGGGGAATTATCCCACTCGGGCAAAGGGCCAGCGGCTGAAGAAACCAGACCTGAAGTGGCTGATGGACAGACGCCCCTGTTGGGGCTTTCAGTAGCTGGGGTGAAATTACACTTCCCTGTCAGGCTACCAACACAACTGTTATTCCGCACAGGTCAGCACTGGGCTCTGTGTGCACACCTGTGGCAGTGACCTGTCATTACCAAAAACCATTTAATGTGTGAAGGTAAGAAGTTGTATGCCCCTGTGCTTGGCAAACATTTGAAGCAACAACCAAATCACCATGAACAATGGTGGAAATTAGGTTGTGGTGCATTCACTAACTCTCACTTAAATGCTGTGCCCGCACGGATTCCTGCAGCGCTCACACACTTGACCTCTCCCTGTCTCTATAGGCATTTGGAAATGGAAAGGCTTCTGATAACACATGTCTCAAGAAGTACTGCCAGCTAGTTGCCTGCAGACTCACGATAAAGTATTCACCTTGATAATTTGCTAGGAGTTGGGTATCAGTCTTCCCACTAGAAATCTTATCCATCCATTGCTTGATGATTGGTTGATGTTTGGCGGACACAGAACGGACTCCTCCCTCAGGGGCAGACTCATCTGAACCAAGCTCACAGGAACTGATAAGCACAAACCAGGATGCCAATCCGTGAATTTACTGTGAATTGTCAAGTCATCCAGAAGACGAGAAGGCTTATATCAGCAACGTGGCGCATCCCCCCCCCCACCCAGAGCCGTGGCAAGTTCAAGCATAGCCAGAATCACCAGTGTGTCCATTCTGTTCATATCCAGTAAGAAATACAACTGTAAAGCTGATATAGTCTTAATCTTCCCCTCCTCCCACTTTCTCTCTCTCCTTCTCTCTCTCTCAACTTGTTCCGTGGGGAGCCAATTTACCCAAAGGTGAGGATGTTATCACGACATTGGCAATGAATCAATCCTAAGGAGCATCTCTCTACCGCGAGGTGAATGCCCTCTCACCACCAGAGGGACAGTGTGCCATGGAAATGGAAACACTTCAGGCTGTTGGACGGAGAGTACCACCCCCTGGGTGGAACTTGCATAGGTGTCACCACCCTCAGCCTGCCCCCCACTCTGCTTTGTCTTTGTTTCCATGGCGAGCAGGTCCAGTTCTGACTGGCCCGCTCAGCCAGACACAGTCATTTGTAAGGGGCCTGGAGTCATTCCATCTCCTTAAGGATATGTGGCTTATCTCTCCTGTGATGTACTGATTTTGGAGGCTGATCTATCGTGGGTGTGTTGAACGAGAACAGTTCTTGGGATGGACTCCTCAAGCAGCTTTCTTCTGTCCCGACCATCTTCTTAAATCCGCTCTGGGCCAGTTCTTCTCCAGTCCCTGGAAGGAATGTGAAACAATCCCATGCAGTTTCTGTTCACTCTCTGGGAATGAAAGTAACAAGTTATCATCTCACTCCTGTCAGAAAAATATCCAGCTTTATATAATGCTTGAAACTCTAGGTTTGGTTTAAAATTGAGTCTCCCATCCCTCCAGCTCGTGAGTTTAAGACAGAGGAGGGGCTTGACTGGCTTCTCCGTGCGTTAGTCAGCTCAGGCTGCTATAACAGAATGCCAGAGACCTGGTGGTTCAAACAACACACATTTGTTTCTCACGGTTCTGTAGGCTGGGAAGTCCAAGATCAAGGTGCTGGCCAGCCCAGATCCTGGTGAGGACTGTCTTCCTGGCTTGCAGAAAATTGCTTCCTTGCTGTGTCCTCACAGGGTGGAGAGAGAGAGGTCTCTTTAGGGTCTCTTATAAGGGCACTAATCGTATTGGATCAGGACTCCACCCTTATGACCTCGTTTAACCTTAATTATTTCCTTAAAGCCCCATCTCAAATTCAGCTACATTGGGGGTTGGGGCCTCAATATGTCAATCTGGGGGGACACAGTTCAGTCCACAGCACTCACTTTTATCACTTGTGTTTCCTCCCCTTCCTCTCCTGTGCTCAGTTTCTTTCCCATGAATAGGGGGAGAGAGGAGAATCCAGGAAGCAGGACCACGTGTACTCGCGTGAAGCTGGCATGAGCCTTCAGCGCACTCTCGGGCCCGGCAGTGTGTGAATCCGATTCCTTCTGTTGGGGAAATGTTTGTCAATTCTTGGGAGACCTTCTTCATACAGTTGCTACGCTGTCCTCCTGCTCAACGCTTGTGGCTCTTTCCTTAACCCTTAAGAATTCCAGGGCTGGCCTCCCGCCGCTTCCGTGCAGTCCCTTCTCCCCCGCGACAGCCCCCTTGCACAGACTGAGTGCTTGATTCCACACCAGCTCTCGCTCCAGGGTGGGCCATTATGGTCACTGCAAACCCTCAGGCTTCCTTTTACTTTCTTCCTTTTGCATCCCAAACTCTGAGAAAACGGGCCAGTCACAACACAGTACCAAAACCCTCTTTGCTCCTGCAGTCAGAACAGCTCCCACTTTTAGTTTCCCAGGCAGGGGTCAGAATCCGTCCCCCTGCTCCCTGCTAATCCACAGAGGACTTATTCTAGCTTTCTGAGGAGTGTCCCTGAAGCCCTTCTCTCTTGACCTGAGGGAAGGGGAATTAGCCCCCTGCCACCCTCCAGTCCTCCCTTCTCTGACAGACCTGGTGAATTGGTCCCTAGCATCAGTCCCAGCCTCTTTTCTGGTGTGCTTTCCTGCACCGCGAAATTGAAAATGATCATTTTCAGACTCTCTTGCAGTTAGGTTCTGGATGCAGAAAAGGTGCTGCCGATGGATGGCACTTGAAGAGGATTTGAAAGGCAGAACGGAGAAGGCGGGTGGGGGGAGGAAGCTTTCCAATGCACGCAAGGCTGGCAGATGGAGATGGCTTTTCTGTGTCCATGATCCGCGTCCAACCATTGTGCTCATGGACATCGAGGGGCAGTTGTGTCAGTGGTGACAGAGGTTTCCTTATCTCTGGGTCACAGCTCTGGTGGTGAGATGTTGATGTCAGCAGTGCTGGAGCTCCATGCTGGTCTCCTGACCCCTCCCCTCTAGGTAGCAACCAGAGCAGCAGCTCCCCTGGAGGCCTATTCAGTGGTCCCGTTCCCAAACTCACTTCTGGAGGCCTGGCCTGCGATATACTCCTCCAGCCTTTCCAAAACTTTCTAAGTACAAAATTCCTTGAAATAATGCTCATCTGATTAAAATATCTAGAATGGTTTCTGCTCCCTGCAAATGATGCCTGATGATACACCTCCCCTTGGGAAGGGAGTGGAGTGAAGCTCGGGGCACATCAACAACCAGGCTGCAACCTCCCTTTGGACATCCCGTTGTGAACTCCCGGAGGCAGGCCTCGTTTCCAGCCGGGCCGAGCTCTTCCAGAGCTGCTGTGTCCTTGTCATGCTCCATCACGTGAAAAGGGCCCACTGTGCTTGGAACAGCGCAGTTCCCTAAGAAGGAAGATGATCTCTTCATCTATATATTTTTACATACTCAAGAACCTATCCAGTGTTTTATTTACTTGACTAATGACATTCCCAACTGAAAAGCACTGACCCAGTCCCTTGACTCATCTTTGAACTGGCCTCAGGAGCAGGCAGAGAGGTGGAAAACCTTCAGCAGCCTGAGACGAGCAGTTTCTCTCCAGAATATTCACTCCACCGACTACCACTGCATCCCAGAGGGATGGATTCTTGGCTTGGTTTCGTTCACTGACAAAATGCAGACAGCCCAGTCATGTGAAAGTTGAGCCTCTGGCCCAGAAGCCCTCACCCGAGCTCATCCTGACCTGTCTTCGGAGCAGGTTTTGACGAAAGGAAGCAGAGAGAACACAAGGGCCGTGGCCAGCAGCACGGAGGAATGTGTGTGGCCTCCCTCCCCTCCCCCAAGCCACCCCACATAAAATAAGAGAAATATTGTTTGAGGTGAATAATTAACTTTCTCTTAATATTGTGTAAAGTATACATAAAAACTTCCTTTGGAAACTCTGCTATTTGTCTTGCTTGATAATAGACTCTAAGCAAAAAATGGTTTGCTCGCTCTAGAGATGCAACTTTAAGACAAGTCCTGCAGCCGCTCCTTCCACTCGGTTTGCTGCCCCGAGGCCCCTCCACCATGGAAATCCTGGGGCCCCCACTGTGGCTCAGGGCATTAGAGAGCGGGGTGCCCTCCAAGGTGGGACAAAGCTGAGGATGGGAGAGTGGAGACCCAGACACGGCTGGCCCTCCTTTGCCCTTTTCCCTGGGGCGACATCCCTCATTTCTGTCACCTTCATCACGGTTGCGCTCAAGGTCCAAAATAACTACGTGAAAGCCGCTCCCTCCTAAGGCTTGCATCATGCTTTTCATTCCAATCTGAGTCATGGCAATGTTCTTTGAGTCATTTGCCAGGACTTAATCAAAGTTTCACAATGTCCTTCCTATGTGAACACTTTCTGGCTTCTCCCTTAAATTTTGTTTTGGCAACAAAATATCCTTTGAAAAACTGGCTCCAGGATCTCCCGCATTCCAAGGCTCTCCGCACAATTCCTCGGTCCCTCCTGTGGCCTCCTCTTCTCTTCGGGGCCGGCAAGGTCATCAACTCCCTTCGTCCTTCCTTCTTCCCTTGCCCGTTGGGTCACTTCCCCGCCCCCTTTCCTTGTATTATTTCTCCACTGAAAGCTTCTTCCCCTGCTCAGTGCCCTCCCAGCCCCCAGGGGACAGTGGCATCCACTGGCTCCAAAGGGAAGACCCCAGGCTGAGGAGCAGACAGACGGCCCAGTGTCCTGGAGCCCTGGAAGAGCTCCTTAACGTCTGGGCCACAGTTTTCTGTAAATTCAAACAGTTCTCAGCCCATATCCACAGCTGGTTTAAAGCATTTGGATAAAGATCCTCCCACAGCATAGGTACATTCTACCCTTACGCAGACAGCCTCTTATTTGAAAGCAACTTTCTAAACGTTCACCAATAGGACACTGGTAGAATAAGGATGCATTCATCAAAAAGCACGAGTGGCTCTAAGTACAGTGTCTAGAGAGTAAGGAAAACAATTTGCAGAACAATGTGTCTAGTAGAATCTCTGTTTTAAGAAGTCGATGCTATGTGCTATGTGTCAGCACTATGTGACCTGTGACACGTACGTTTGCGTGCGGTTAGAAAGAATCTGAAAGGATGCAGACCACATGCAACAGCGGCTGCTTTGCGGATGGAGGAGGTGCAGGAAGCGGGTGAGGGAATTTTAATTTTTTCTTTCTACGCCTATGAAATGTTTGAAATTTTTACCAGTATTTCTTCAACAATCAAGCAGCCCCAATTTCAAATGATTTGGGCGAAGCATCTTCTATACCCTGGATTAGAGCTTTACTGACATGCTCAAAATCTTGTAAATAAATTGTCTAATAACAAGCATTTTCCTTTGGTCCCCATTCACAAAATGTCACTCGTTCTGAAAAAACAGAAATTAAATAAATGTTGTGACTGCTTTACCCCATGGAACAGTGAGAGCTGAGCAGACCCCAGTTCTTCGTCCTGCCCCGCAGTGGCAATGCCCCTTCAAGTCTTCTGACTTCTCCCGCCTCGGCGTTTCAGTGACCCCAGCAGGCCCCTGATCGTGGGGCCTCGAGAGGGGAGACGGGGCGAAGGCTGAGGCAAGGCCGAGGTACTGGGTCTTCCTCTCCCTTGTGAGGGTCAATCAAGAATGCTGTTTATGTGGTCAGTGCTTTACCCGGAGAACAGGCCCAGATTCTGCCTCACAGATTGTAGCTTCTGTTGAGTGATTTCACCAAGTTAGTTATTTCCAACCTGTTGTATTTGCTGCCAAGCAGTTTGGATGTCACACGAAGTTTACTATGACGAGGTCACCAGATGCAGCCATTTCTCTCTGCACCTTTTCTCTGACGGAATTTCTGTGGACTTGCTTCGTTCATCCCCAGCTGTGGTGAGGCACTGACAGTTAAGGCAGTCAGATACACACACGTGTGCACACAATCTTCACCCACTACATCCTCCCAGGACGACATGATACATCTTTGATAATAGATCCCCTCTGCACCCGATTTCCCAAGGAGGAAATTAGTAAGAACAACTTCGGGGGTGTGATTTCCTCCTTCTTCCCTTGTTCTACCGTCCAGCCTATTTTAAGACGGCTGTATGTAACAGGCCTGCGGCCGCGTGACTCAACCTCTGCTAATCACCGAGAACAGGAGTTTGCTTGGCATGGGCGTCCATCCCGGTCCCCAGGCTCCAGGCTTGTGGCTAGCGTAGGTGTCCTCTGAGTGAGGATTCAATGAAAATTACATGTCAGTCCTATGCATTTATGTGGAAATTGTTCGTTATTTGTTCCCTAATGTTAGTGCATTTCTTGGGGACAACATCAACGTTAAAACACTCGATTCTCGTTATTTAAAAAAAGCATTGATCTAACTGTGAGACATCTTTACTTACGCATTTTCAGATCTGCATCGCCGCTCTTCCCCAGGGCCCCACGGCCCAGCCTGGCAGAAGCCCTGTCTCTCACTGAGGCCGTGCCTGCAGACTCCTTCTGTCCCCACGGGCTGCAAACCCTGCTCTCGGTGGAGCTCAGAACAATCGTTTTAAAATGCAAATCAAATCCAGCCCCGCCCTGGTTTACGACCCCTCCGCTGGCTCCCCACTGTGACGGAACAAGGTAGAATCCCTGTGCGAGCCGCTGGCCTTCACACACCTCACCTCGGAGACCCGCCAGGCTGCCCGACTCAGGCCCCGCCCGGCTTCCCTCACCTGCGGGCTCGCCCCCCACCCCGCCCAGCCGTGTTCCCTCACCAGCTCCTTCTCTTAATTCCCCTCAACGTCTCCCCAAGGTGCCTTCACTGACCGACTTGCCGAAGTGCTCCCTCCTTATTCTCCTTGACGGCTTCCTATTCCTGTCCTTTTAATAATTATTAGACCCTGTGCTTGCTTGTTTATTGTCTCCCTCTGCCAGCTGACTGAAAACTCCACGTGGGCATGGACCACGAGAGCTGGCATCGCGAATGCCCAGTTCAGGGACCTGCCAAAGCCCCAGAGGTCTTTGCTTGACCAAACTTGAGTCAGACTCCGGAAGCTTCTCCTGGGCCCATCTGTGCAATTCCCTGTAAAGCCCAGTTTTCGCAAGAACCCTGCTACGTCGGTTTCACCTGAACCCCCCTCGATATCTGACCAACCTCAGTATCTGAGCAGGGTCCGTACCCTCCGCCATCCTCCCTGTGACACCCTCCCGCCTGTCTCCAGTAAGAACCCTGGGAGGTCGGTTTAGCCCA